TGCTAACGCTGATGCTCTGGATATCGACATTCTTTGGTAGCTTTTCGGCGACCTGGGGCAGGATGGCGGAAAAGGTATCCTCGGGCTGTACCGTCAACCTGAACTGGCCGTCTTTGCTAACGAACCTCAATATCATGATTGCAACCAACGCTGTCAATCTTGGGTTGGGTTGAGTTGTGGTAGGTTGTTGGGAAAAAGTTGCGAGTATTAGGACGTAAACGAGAGGCGTTGTAGGAAAACGCGACAAGAGAAGGCAAGCCAGGAATGGTGAACTGCGGTTGAGGGTGTTTGTGATTGATGCATGCATCTGCTTAGACATTCGAAGGCGGACATGGATGACGCAGACGCGCTAGGAGGGGCGCTAGTCGAGCGCGGAACTGGACAGATATTCCAACATATCGATAGTGAGACAAAGCCCGGCGTAATTCACCCACCCACTGGTCTTCACCTTCCCACCGTATCTCGCCTCTGAGGACACCGTCGCTCCTTTACAACTCTGGTATTTGCGCCTGCACCGGATCGCGAGCCCGTCGAACCCCCTTCTTCCACCACACAGACAACCCGCACATTACATTCACCATGTGGCCATTTGACATGGTCGACTGGGTGATGCTCACCGTGCCCTTTGCCTACATTGGTATCCTCGCTGGTTCCTTTGCCGTCTTCACAAACCTCTACCGCAAGCGTCAAGCCGCCAATGCCGCATCCCTCGAACCCTGGTTCCCCACACATCTCCAGCGCAATGTCTACCTCTCTCTCCTCCACATGGACGACCCCAAGGTGCCGGACAGCGTACTGAAAGCTGCACTACTGCGCCGCGCGACCGAAGACATTCACCGAATCGTACAGGTCAGGAACGCGAAGCAAGCGCTACAAGTGTTGCTGCAGAGGGGTAGTGTGGGTGATGATCTGTGGCAGCGATTCCAGAGGGCAGAGAAGGAGATCGAGGAAGAACTTAGGGATGTTGTTAGCGAGGTAAGTCGATCATGTCTGGATTGAAGCCAGATGGCTTTTGTAGATCTACGAGTGTGGCTAACGTCGAGACAGGCCAACGCTTTCGCACCAAATTGGGGTCAGACCATCTTCCAATCCGCCTCTGAAATGGCACAGAACAACCACATCCGCGAGCGCCTGGCCGAGATCACGGCGAAGGCGCCAGCGGAAAAGGAGTGGTGGGAGAAGCGTAGGACCGATATCCAGACTGAATTCATGAAGGAGCTGGACGAGGAAAAGGCCAAGAGCGAAGACGGTGTAATGGTAGAGAATGCCAAGGCATGAGTATTGTCTCGTTGAGATGATGCATACTTCTACTTCAGGGGTCGAACGGGGGGGGTGGTTGAAGTTGTCTAGGGTATCGGCGTTTTGCAGCATTTGACGGCGTCCTGGACAGCTGCACTTTAGTTGCTGCGTGAGCGCATCAGATATGCTTTTATACCATGTTTAGTCGAGTTAGTGCAGATTTGCAACGGGCGGCCGAATCAATTAGATGTTTGTGTCAACTTGTTCAGATGCTAAAATGTAGTGCTATAAACGCCATTATCCCATAGAGTACAAGTTCCCACACAGCTAACCATCAAATACTGTCTGTCGTACACCAGATATACAATACCCACTCTTCCGCCTCCTGCTTTCCTTGTCCACTTTGTACTATTCTCCAACCTCCTACTTCTTGGTGGGACCGCTGACGCCAGCGCCAATGACACTGGGCAGCTCTTCAGCACCCATGGTGTAGAGCATACCAATACCAGCAGATACCAAGAAAGCCAGAACGACACCGCTGCCGACAAACAACCAGAACTGAACCGAGATGTCCTTCTTCTGGCAAGCGGGGCCACCCCAGTAGGTGACCTTCCTCTTCTCCTCCATACCTTTGCCGTCCTCGTACTCGACCGTAGCCGAGCAGGCGCATCCAAAGCAATCAACAGTCTCCTGGTCGGAACCGGAACCCCGACCCTTGTGGAGAAGCTTGCACTCGCCGTGGCTGGAGCAGTTGTGGGTCTGGGTCTGGCACGCCGACATGGACTTGAAGCAAGTAGGGAGAATGCCGCGGACAGGTCCCTTGTTGTTCTCGGCCTGGATAACGACGGGGAAGTCCTCAAGGTCAGGGACCTTGGAGACGGCTGGTACGGGCTGGGAGGAGAGGACTGCCTCGGGGTTCTGGCGGCGGGCTTCCTTGGATGGGATGTCGTACATGCCCCAGGGGTGGGCAGCGCGCTTCCCCTTTGAAGCTGAACGCGGCATCATGACGAAGGTGGTGGAGAAACCCGTCTCCGCAGCCTTGGTGATGGTCTTGCCGAGCACCTGGGCGAGCTCCTCAGGTGTCATGTTGCTGCTCTTGTCGGTGCGCCAGATATTGAGGTAGCCATTGTGCGGTTCGGACTTGTAGTTTGGTGGGAGCACGGAATCGATCTCAAAGTTGGACGTGTAGGTGCGCTGCTGGGGGTCTGGGTATGCTGGCAGCGACTCGGCTTGTGCGATAAAGTCGAGGATCAGACGGTCATTGTCCGACGCAGATGGCGCACTTGATATGGTAAAGTCTTGGGTGCGGTCTGATCCGTCGTTGATGATGACTGACAGCTTAGTTAGTGGGTAACCTTTGCTATGCCTCCGTCACGTATGCCCACCTGTTGCCTCGTCCTGCTCAGCGTCCTCTGCCCAGACCAGCAGGTGCGCCTTGGTCTGCTCTGCATCGTCTCCGCCAAACAGTTTCTGTTGCCTTCCTCCGTACGTGTTGATGTGTCTGATCGTCTCGGCGTCTGCGTGCTCAACAGAGTGGAATCGCGATAGACCCAGTCGCTGGGCGATGATAAGACGCGCTGTCTCGGGGCTGACGGTGGGTCGAGCTGCAAGGACTGCGCAGTACAGCGATGAGGCGACAAAGGCGCCGGATAGCTTCATGGTGGCGGTAGGGATGGAGTTGAGGTAGTTCGGCGATGATGCATCTGCATCATCGCCATCCTGAGCTGCGCTGCGACCTAGACGGCACTAGCGTCGAACCCGCCTCACCTCCGCCCGCAACTATACAACTCGTGGGGCGCCGGCCAACAGCATTCACTTCGTTCTTCATACACACTTCACGCGTATTCTTTGTGTTTTTTTCTTAACCCCCGATTTAAATGTCTCTCCACCTAGCTTCGAGCTCCTCATAACATTCGCTCCTCGCCTGCATCACGCCAATGTTCACGCCACTGGTCTTGCGGCGCAACTTCTCCCTCTCTAGTCGGTTATCGCATTCGCGCATAATTCGACAAGCGGCACGCGATGGTCATGGGAGTGCCATAATACAGCGAGTGCGTATACGGCGACCATTCCTTAGCAAGTCGTGAGTCGCTTCACACATCCCTTGCAGTTTACCTATGCTGACTCGAGAACAGACGTCTAGTCGGTGCTGTCGCCATCGGAGTGGCCACGTACGGCCTCGGACAATATGTCGGCATAACAGTCGAAGTGGAAGAGGTAAAAGAGGGAGGAACGGCTTCCAGGCCTGGGCAAGATGGGTGGACAACAGTCGGTCCTGAAGACGACGAGGACGAGGATGAAGAGTACGACGACGCTTTACTATTCCTGCCAACCGGACTCTCAAGGCCACGACCGAAGCAATTTTGGAAAGGCTCAGACCCCGAGTGGCAAGAGTTCAAGAAGATCGCAACGGACCGCCCAAGGGTTGACAAGATACGAAGTGAGATATGTCTGATGCGAACACAGTGGACGCATACTGACTATTCAATAGGAGAACTAGTTCTTATCACACGCCAGACCTTCGCCCAGAGCCCTCCATTTGTTGCCAAAGTCGGCAAAATCGACTTAGACAAAGGGAAAACGTGGGTTGAATTCAGGTTCCCCGATACCATGCCGGACGAGTACGAGCGCCCTGGTATCGAACTGACCGAGGACCTGGAGTGGCGAAGGGCAACCCGGCCGGTCGAACCCTCACATCATCTTCGCTTGGAAAGAATATTGTATCCTAAAGAAGCAGCGAAAGCGCTCTACCAAGACACAACGAAGAAAGCCGGCAGGGCATGGAAAGACTTTAAAATCTACATGGGGTGGTCGCAGGAATCGCAAACAGAAGCTGTTCAGCAGCTCGTCAAGCGCATATCTGCGAACCCACAGTCAACTCTGAACAAAACGACGAGCATGAACCCAGATCCCTTTTCGACATCCGCGAAAGACACTCAACAATCAAGCACCACTCCATCATCAGCAGCCCCCGTTGACGGTCCGGCCAAGGACCTCAATGGTATCCTCCTTCCCGATCCCAAAAAACTCATGCTTGACCTGACACAATTCCGCACCGACGTGCGCAAGGCCTCGAATACCGCAACCACACCGATGGTCATTCCACGTGGTGGCTTCTGGGTGCTCGGTCTCATTGAGATTTATGGCGAACGAGCAAAGCTGACGCTAAACGTTCATGCCATATATGATCCTAAACAAGAACGTTATGTCGGTATGCGAGCCGTGCCGTTCAATTTTACCGAACTGAGACAGCGTCCGAAAGGTGGACCATAGGCAGGGAAATTGTGAGGGAAGCGTGCATTATCCCCGGCGTCAATGGCGTTTGCTGAGCGTTAGATACCATTGTACTGGGTGGCGTCTATTTGGAATACGTGATCACGTTGAGCGGCATTATGAGTATTTAGACTGTATTGAGCGATGCAATTACATTTGGGGCATTCTTGCGAATAGATCTGTCTCCCTCTCCCTCTCTCCCTCTCCCTCTCTCCCTCTCCCTCTCTCTTCTCAAGTTCACAATGACACCGGTCGTACAGCGCGCCGTCAGAAAGGGCGGAGCTCCACCAGTTCCATTCAAGTCACCAGAGAATAACAATAACTGCATCATGACATGTGGTACTGCTTCGAGAGCAAGATGACAACCTCTGCATCACCACCTCCATTTCATTTGCACCAACGGTTACGCAGATCTAGTCCTCCTTGCACTTCGTCTCATCATTTACTAAATGTTCTCGTGACACTAGTCCACCGTATCAGCTCTATCCTCAAAGACAAAGCACCCCAGCAACCCTGACCCCCAAGTCCAGCACAGCAAGATGTTCATCCCCACCATCCACAAGCCTCTTATCTGTCTCACTAAACACGCCGGCGAGTCTAACCTTCTTCACATCCTCGACTCTTTCATCAAACATGATCTGTTCGTACAATTGGCCCACGGTCTGACTCGCGCTCCACCCCTCCGCAATCATGTTCTCCACGACTTTGGCAATCTCCGCATACCGCACGACCTTGTTCGCTGAAGACCTGGGGAAAAGGCTGTCGCTGAAGGAGGATAGTGTGTCGGGAGGTAATACACCCGCAATCTCAGCGATGATGGGAAGGGAGACTGCTGGTGGGGGTACAAGTGTTGCTCCATCAATGTCCATTTCATCTTCGTCTGCGACGACCTTCTCCTTCTCCTTCTTCTTCTTTCCTCCTCCCGCCCCAGCATTATGGCCGTTTGCTGCAACAACAGCGCCAACAAGTCTAGCCGCAGACTGCAAGAATGTGATTGCCTTTCTCAAATCTCCATCTGCGACGCGCACTAACTCTTCTGCAACACCGTCTTCCAACTCCACCTTCTCGAGTCTCGCAATGTCGCCTACACGCTTCACAGCGTTTCCTTGGTCTAAGCTCTTGAAGCGGAATTTGGAACAACGGGACGCGAGGGGGTCGATGATGCGAGTTACATAGTTACACACAAGGCAGAAGCGCGTCATACGTGAGTATGTTTCCATGGTCCTACGCAGCGCAGACTGCGCATCTTGCGTCATACTATCCGCCTCATCCAACACGATGATTTTGAACGGTGGACAGGGATATTTGTCTCTATACCGCACCGTCTTGCCCCCCTCACTACCGTCTTTATCCTCGACCATGACGGTGTGGTTCGGCGCAACACTCAACTGCTGTCTCGCGAAATCTTTCACTTTCTGCCGCACGATGCTGATGCCACGTTCGTCCGAGGCGTTTAGTTCGAGGACACGTGATTTCATGAGTTCGGGGCCGTAGAGTTCCTTGGCGAGGGCGAGGATGGTGGAGGTTTTCCCGGTTCCTGGGGGCCCGTAGAAGAGCATGTGTGGGAGGTTGGAGGATTGCATTGTGCGGGACAGGATTTGGATGGTGTTGTCTTGGGCTGTGACTTCGGAGAGAGTTTTGGGGCGGCTGTAAATCTGTCAGCGTTGCTACTGCGTGCTGTGTTCAGAGACTGTATCCTCACTATTTCTCGACCCATGGCTGCATGCGGTTGGGCTCTTGCTTCGTTGTGGGCGCTTTCGATGAGCTAGCCTTGGCAGCATTGGCTTGCCGCGCTTTTATGTTGAAGAAATCGGCCATTGTTGGGGTTGGGTTGAGGATGATGTGACGATGTCACCGTGTTGAACAGCTGCTAAAGTGCGACGCGTCGACGCGAACCCGCGAACTCACGTTTCCGCACAGACCATGTCAGTGCCACCAATCATGTCATAATTGCTGCATATGAAGAAGTTGGTTCTCTCTGACTTGTACTCGACACCGATATGATAGGCTGTTCGTGGAAATATGCAACAAGCTCAGAAAAAACGGTATAATATTGGCTATCTTTGCGGTACGTTGTCGCATTTGAAATAACCTAAAGATGCCGTAGTAGTATCTTCAACGTTTGCAAAGTTAACAAAAAGCTGGATTGATTTTGTATCGCATGGGGATATCTTGGAAAACAATATACAAAAAAGATGCAAAAGCATACGTTGTGCGCCCACTCAGCGCCTAGTGAGCTATACTCGTTGCATTGACGACATTTCATCATGCGGCATCCAAGACGTCCAAATCAGATCTTTTCCCGCTTTCTCCCTAAACACAACTCTACAAGATACCTCGGAGAAACGAAAAGATGGCAGCGAAACCAGCGTAGCTCACCGGCGCCACGTTACGCAATGCCAGAGCATCGTACCAGACTATGCGAAGATACAGAACCCAGCTCCAACACTGAAGAAAGCGATTATAGCTAGTGCCTCTATCTTGGCTACGGATCTAGCGCCAGTAGAAAGGGAACTCGATGGCGTGGCTGAAGCACTAGCCAGGACCGTAGAAGACGGTGTTTGTGATGCGCTTTCTGAAGACTGTGCGGAAGATGAAGGTGATTGTGTGTTGGTGGCCATGGACGCGGACTGCGACGTCTTAGTAAATGTGTTCTGCGATGTCAATGTCGTGGAAGACAGGGCGTCGACAGTAGAAGACAGAGACTCGATGGTGGAAGACAAAGAAGACGAAGCCGCAGACGCAGATGACGAGGCAGATGAAGAAGCACTCACCACTGTATTCTCAATACTCGGCACTGCAACACTACTTTGAAGCACCGACGACACCACCTGGCTCACAACCTGACTCGCTTGCACCTCACTCGTTGCAGCCGCAACCACAGCCTGAGCAGTAGGCCCAACAGGATAGAACGACGGTAACAGGCTTTTAACATCTTCTGGCAGCCTCTGGTACCAATCTGGCTCTGAATTGCCAGTTGGCATGGGGACGTTGGGGCCCGTGGGCATACCAGTTTTCAGCACTGATAGTACGGAGAACAGTGTTGGATTCATAGTCGCTGGATCGATATCGCGGTCCATAAGGTGGTTGGAAAGTTGGATCGCAGAGGCGAGGGCGCTGGAGGTGAAGGCTGTTAGTATGAGGAAAGACTTCATTGTTGCGGTTGGCTGGAGGCGCGTAGTAGACGCGGCAATTATTGGATGGGCTGGCGAGTGACGATCAGAAGAATGTCGGGTAATTCCTTGAGGAGTAACGAGTGTGGGTTATGAGTAGAGGGAAAGGCCGATGAGGTGGGAGTGGTCGTGAATATAGTGGGTTGTTGTTGACAAACAAACGAGTGAGAGCGACTGCGATATATGCGATGACTGTTGCGCTATCCGACGTTGAGTGCGGAGACAGTGCTCGGCCCCTCAGTTCTGTTGACCGTTTGCGAAAAGAAATTACTGTTGAAGTCGATCGTTCAAGTCGTTGTATGTACCAGAAGATATGTCTAGGCCGATCTTTGGAGCCGCCGTAACAGTGGGTTGACAGTAGTGATGCTTTGCTGGCGAAATGTTGGGATCGCAAGACTGATTGCAACGTGCGGATGGTACTTTCACTGTGCTTGTAACAGTCTGAAATTGGGAATTGTGACGATGGTGCTGCGCGAAGTCGTATGCGCGTCCAATGAATGAGAAGTGACGGAAAGTTTGATGAGACTGTGTGCCACAATGCTGCAGCCCGTGACTCTGCGCTCTAGAAAAGACTTCGATTTTATGAGATGAAAACACAGAATGCGAATACCAGCGCCCGCAAAAGAGGAAGAGTTGAAGCTAGGGACGAAATCAATGGTAACCTTGGAAACAAAAGAAATCACGAACCAGATTCAAGATGAGGGGAAATTACCGACCGGCCGGCAGTCCAAACAAGTCATATCTGAGGCATCGAGCACAATCCGTGTCGCAGCCTTACTTCAGATGCGAAGTTGCTAACGATATCCGCTTATATTGAAGTTCTCCCCTTGTGCGCTAAGTCACACCATGCTTGCGGTTGTTGAAACATGGCAGACGTTTCGGAACATGCAACGAACCGAAACTCGGGGCGCCTGACAAATGCCGAGATGGTAAGGTTTGCCAATAGAGAACTTGCTCAAAACAGTGCTTGTGGTGTATTTGGGGTAGTGTTTTTCAGTTGGTGAAGCTGAGACGTTGGGGCAAATCATCGCCTTGACAAGCGCCATGCGTACAACCATAGAAGACTTTTCGGATCATCGAGATAATCGTAGTAGGAGTAGTCCATCGACAGTGGAATCATGTGTCGCATCGGAATATTCTTAGCTTGTCGATCCCAACATGCCTGTGTTCGTCGCTAGACTTGGTTTAAACTCGCCTCTATGGAACGCGAGAACAGAGCAAATGAGAAAGGGAATATCGATAAGATTATAAGGAACGTGGGACAAATGAGCTGGAAGGTCGTTGATCACATGCCAGCTCCTGGGTTGAGAGGTTACGCTCTCTGCAATACTCGTATTATCCCGTCTCAATCGGGGGACGCACGTCTTGCGGTATTATGTCCGAACAATCTTCACATGAAGCTTGTCCGGTCGATCCGGGGTTGTGCCGTGAAGCCCAAAATGGCCGTGGATGTAGTTCAGGATTGGAGCTGCGAACGCTGCCAACGCGCATGAGACAGAGGGCCAGGGTTCCCCGCTACCCCAAAGGAGACGACCTCGGCATCCCTGCCATGACGCCACATTGTATCTTCGATCAGGCACGAACGTGACAGTATGCGATTGTCAACTAAGGCAGGTGCTAGCACACACGGCGTCTTTGAATAGGCTTGGTGTTTTGGCGATTGGCATATAAGATGTCCTGCATATGGCCGTCCAAGACAGGCTGGTATCCACTACCAATAACCACAGCCCCGCAGCTCTTCATACGACACAGTCGTTCCATACCACATCAGTGTTAAGCAACGATAGGAATCGGCAACATGGCAGCTCCATCAAGTGCTGATATCAAGAATCTCCAAGGGAAATGGGTCATGGTAAGTTTTGTACAGCTTTCAGGTCACTTCGTTCTCTACAAAGCTTCGTCTTCATCCTAAGCATCGCTGGACTACAGAACAAGCCTAATGTATCCCAGAACAAATCCCTTTCCGATGCTTTCGATCCTGTTCTCTCTTTACAAGGCATCGGCTGGTTGACACGAAAAGCCCTCGGCGCTGCAACGATAACTCAACACCTTTACCAATCTCCCACAACAGGCGAGGACAACACCCCGACTACGCACATAAAGATCGATCAACTCATCACCGGCGGTCTCAAGGGCTCCGTCGAGAACCGCACGTTGGACTGGCACTACCGCGAGCACACTGACTGGCTCTTCGGCACCGTCAAGGGACGATCTCGCTACTCTACCATGGCCAAGACAGTGGAAGAAGGAAAGAGTGGAGGTGCAAAGGAGGAAGACATCAAGTTTTTGGCTGAAGGGTGGCTAAAGGAGACGGAAAACGGAGACATCGTTGAGAGCTACGCGGATAATGAGGGGAATGCTTGGACTGCGTGGCAAATCTGGGGGTTTGCAGATATTGGTGGTGAGAGGAAGTTGACGAGGAAGTTCGTGGTCAGGAAGAAGAACAAGGATGAGGTTGTTCGGGTTAGACTCGTGTATGACTACATTGGCGCGTTGGAGTCCGAGTAGGGACTTAGGCGATGGTGTTGTACATATGTGCTGTATCAACCAGCAAATTGCTCGTGAAAATCACAAAGGTTGACCTATGCATGCCATGACCATATTTGGATCTCAGGACTGGCTTTCATATCCCTCAAGTCAATGCATAGTAGTGCAATTCTTCCTTCCCGTATTGTGTGGCACTTTGCGCGACTCAACACGACCACAGGGCAGTTTAACCGGATTCTTGTACATTGGCATGCAAGTGTCGGCCCAGAAAGGCAATGGGTCGAGTAACTACCTAGAAGGAGTCCACTGCATAGTTACGTTGGGTCTTGGAAACCCGCTCATGCAGTAGCTGACAGGCTTAAGTACCGCAGTATAGCTCTTGCAGCAGGCGCCACAATACCTGTCAATCCCTCTATTTCGGCCTTCCACAGATCTGACAGTAACCGAAAAGCTCCGCTTGAGGAATATGTCTGAGTTGAGCCTCATACAGAACCTTTTCCTCGCTCTTATTGTCCTGACCTCCACGATCCTCATTTCGATATTAATGTACTTCACCATTCGTCTTGCTGCCAATCGAAGTAGAAACAAAGCCTGTCAAAATGCCGATTCTAAGCCTGTCCTACTCAATCCTGAATCCGGCCGAGTGTCTCGCCTTTCGCATCGCCTGTCTCGCCAGCAGACACAACAAGAGCATTACCAAGGTCTGCAGCAACGCTACTCGTCCGCACCGCCATCACCGTCGATCGAGCTCCTTCCAGAGATTGAAACAAGCTCGAGCGACGACAAAGCGAACGAGTGGCTAGAGCGAGGAGTTGCTGACAACGGTATTGACGTGGTTCATGGGGACCTGGGACAGAAAAAACCCGAGATGACGCAGGCGATGGTGATCAAACCAAAGAAACAACTAAGATGGGATCGGCGTGAGGGAAAGCTGGGCGATGGCAGTGGACATTCTAAGGTCGTCGAGAGGACGGACAAAGATGGTATGGTGTGTACGGAGTACCGGGCAGTTTGAGCGATTTGTTGGGTATCTTGAAAGCGGCGTTTGGAGATAATGGTGTTAGGGCCACTTCGGATGGACATAAATATCCATCTGCTCATAGCGACACCTAGGAGAGGCTTGCAGACATGAAGTTATCGCCAAAATATGTGGGGTTGTTGCGCAACTGACCAGTGAAACTCTACCTCTTATGCAATCATTCGTTGCGTGATAACCATACGAGTTTCGTACACGACGAAGAAGAGACTATTCAAGCAGAAGGCCAAAGTACGTAAAAATGGTGGAGAGATGACATTGACGACGGAAGCCAAAAAGACAGGTAATAGCGGGATAGTGCGACTTGAAAGCAGATGACACGCTCATTGAGATCGTCTGTTCAGCGGAAGTCGGTAGCGAGTTATGCGCAAACGACATTGATCTGTGTTTTTGAGGGGCTAGTAGTCGCTTCAGTGGTAGATGCTAGACAGATGGAGAGGCGAATGTAACGTGAAAGATGTTGATTCTCGACAGAAATATGAAGCTTTTTAAACAAATCGCAATTAGTCGGTACAAGCAGACGAGAAAGTACTTGGCAGATGATGGTGGTGAAGTCGTCATGATGTTTGAAGAGCTACCCGAGGATGATGGAAAGAGGGAACGGCAGTGCCTGGGTACTCGAGGTCTTTAGGCGTACGTAAGCTGGCGTAAGGATGTTTGCATCGTAAACTCGACTGCACGTCGCTGATCAGCGGAGATGCAGATGCAGGGGTGAAAGACGTTGCCCAGGTGCGGTAAGAATGTGGTTGGACGGTTACGCTAGGCTACGGCCGAATTAGCGTAGAAGCTTGGACAATCGACCAAATTTCACAACTTCGTAAACAACGCCTGTTTAGGTTCATTTACTTGAACTATTCTTCCTCTTGCACGACAAAGATACCCCTAGCGCGGTAAAAAACGGTACTCTCCCTCGGCGCGCGTCTTCACACATACACAACTGCGACTTCCCATCCGGCTAAGCAGCTGCCCGCCCCACTCGCTTCTACCACCTGACGAACCCCCACTGGACGAGCACACGAGCTCCTCCTTCGCGTCACCCTCCACCCAACATGTCGACCGAATTGGATATTGACTTCACGCGCCGGAACAAGAAGCCGCGCCCGCTATCTGAGCATGAGAAAGAGAAGCTGGATGAATTTATCGACGCGATCCATTACTCGGCAAGGTGGGTTGGCGATGCAAGAAGCGGTCAGCGCGTTTTCTTTGCTAACGCTGGACTTAGATACTCGGACGACGAATACGAATACCGTCATGTGCAGCTCCCCAAGCAAATGCTGAAAGCTATCCCAAAAGATTACTTCGACGGCGCTAGAGGCACATTGAAGCTGCTATGGGAAGAGGAATGGCGGGCACTGGGAATCACACAGGTATGCGTCAAAGAACGCGGGCTACCAACGACATGCTAATTTGGGAATAGAGTCTGGGATGGGAGCACTACGAAGTCCATGAGCCAGAACCACACATCTTGCTCTTCAAGTAGGTTGTTCCTATGCGAATATCGCGCGCTGCTGGCTAATCGTTGGACAGGCGACCGATCAACTACCAACCTCCTATGCACTGATCCTGATATCGCACCACGGCGCAGCACAAGGTCTACAACACGTTGACCACAATACGCGCAACAGCTGCGCAGACCACCACGGCACACGAGACGGCCTTATCGCGATACCTTTTTGTCCATTTCCAGCGAGGCGCGTTAAATATAACGATGATATGATAACGGTGGTATGATTGACGCGCTGGTTTTGTAGGGTTACGATCGGAGCGAAAGCGTGTCTCAAATCCATCATGACAGGGTACCCGAAAGCCCACAATTGTATATACAGCCGAGGCAGAAGGAGGTACTGGGCGTTACTGGAAATTGGGCAAGAGACCATGGAATAGGTAAACGGTTGCTAGCTGCTATAAGATCTTTTGATAGATTCGTAGCTCCTTCACTTGGTCAAAATCCTAAACCTGTTCAGACGACTTTTGGACACCAGTATGCCTTCCAGAATCTAAGCGCAAACTTGACGTATGTCATACGGACCGAATCTAGCGCGTCCCACACGTCAATCCTGGTCCCTGCGTTGTTCGTGTTTGTTGACATTTCTCCCAATGAGGAAATCATCGAGGTATGAAGAAAAAGCAAGGTGCGCCATTTCAAGAAATAAACGCAGAGTAGTATCGAAGAGGCATAGAACCTCGGCCGCCGACCTGAGCCAGGCAATCGATTAGTAAGCTACCTGGCAGCGTGCGTGTCTGCCTGGCTTCACAGAACCTCGAAAGCCTCACAACTCAAACTGATGATTCACAATTATTACAAGATCTTATAACTTTACACATACGACATTTCTTCTATTGCCGCATCTATCGAACCCGCAAAACTGCCACCCAATGGAGAACATAGACATAAACGTTTCCATATCCTGCGGTTTGCAGACACCGGTCAAAGCAAAATGTCAGATCTGATATCATGGGCACCGCATAGGAGCATCAGAATGACAAGCAGCTCCCCAGGACACAAAAAAAGCTGCGTTGACCTTTACATTATCTCCAGAGAAAAACCACTTGACTCCTGATCAGCTCCATTTCTCTCGAGAAAAAGAGTGCGACATACTGGTATACCAGGGATACAACGTCGATCGCATCAGGTCGCTGATGGATCTTCTTGGGTTTTCTGGATCTCATGTCCTCGATATTATGCGCCCAGATCTCGGTCGAGCACAGTATGATTAACGTTGCGAATAAATGATGCCATACGTAGGATGACCTACTTGCCCGCACACAATTCCCCGGTTAAGGGATCCATTAAGTACTCCAGGCTATCGGTACATGAGGGCGGTAATTGATGAGGGCCGTGCTCGACTCACGCGGTCGAAGTATGTGGGCACAGCCGGTGGCTCATTTTGTTGGCGAATTGAGCCAGCATATCAAAACCACTCGGAACCCAGCATAAAAGATCGGAGCGTAGGGGTGATTTGCGCTCAAAGACTGTAAAGTTCAGATTATACGAACTCCAATAGACGATGCACTTTGTCCGAGAACGTGATATGAGGGCAATCCACTGAACTGATTGATGTCTTGAAAATTCAGACTATACAAAAGCCATCAGATTCTCTCAGGAAAGCTAAGCATCGACAGAGCATCAACAAAGCATCAACAGAGTGTATACATAAAGGATCAAATAAGACATTTCTATCATGAAAGCCTTCTCCATTGTCCTGGCAGGCTTCGCCTCTGTCACTGTCGCACAGCAACAAACCCTCTGCGACCTATACGCTTACTACTCCACCAACGGCTACGAGCTCCTCAACAACCTCTGGGGCCGCGACGCCGCAACCTCCGGCTCGCAATGCACATACTACGACGGCTTCAATAATGGCATGGCCTGGCACTCAAACTGGCAGTGGCAAGGTGCCGAGAACAACGTGAAATCTTACGTTTACGCCGGCCGCTTGGCTACCAAAAAGTTGATTTCGCAATACAGCACCATGCCGAGCACAGCGCAGTGGAGCTACAATACGACAAACGTACGCGCCAATGTTGCGTACGATGTGTTCACTGCTGCGGATATCAACCATGATAGGAGCAGTGGGGATTACGAGCTTATGGTTTGGTAAGTGCTACTCTCATATTGACGCCCTGACCTCAGTTCAGTCATTAATTTCTCCACGTCAACAGGCTCGCCAGATTGGGCAACGTTTACCCCATCGGTACCTCGCAAGGCATGAAAACCGTCGACGGCCGCTCCTGGGAACTCTGGGAGGGATACAACGGGGCGATGAAAGTTTACAGCTTCGTTGCTGCAAGTCCTGTCACCAATTACAGTGGTGATATCAAGAACTTCTTTACTTGGCTCACCAGCAACAAGGGCTATCCTGCATCGAGCCAAAACCTCATCGGTAAGTTTCTAATGTTGCTCTAGGTCATAGAGCTAGGTGTGCTTATGCTAACGACTTTATTAGTCTACCAGTTTGGTACTGAAGCTTTTACGGGTGGACCT